TAAAATACATACAAAACAATACAAATTTAAAATTAATTAAAAAGAATATTAAATATTTGTCGAATTTAAAATATAATTAAAACCCCCCTAAAAATTACCCTAGGCCAGTCCTGCAAGCTGGAATAACCAAGTCTTGAGGGCGCGGCGAAAGGAAGGGAGATCAGGGATAACCCTGATCTCTGGGGGCAGTTCATTCCAGTTGTACGTGGCCAACTCGGGATGGGTTTGTTTACCACTCTATCCACTCCGGGGTTCACTCAAAAAGTGTACTTACTTGGAAAGATGGAAGACAAGTAGAACAAATCCCCCACTGAACTTAGTGGCACTTCCTCCTAAGGAAGCCTGCATACGTTGCAGTGAGCTCCCGGGCATGTTTCTATATAAACAGGTCTGACTGCTTGTTGACTTAAGGAAGCTTGGCTAGGGTTGGACCACCGTTAATTTTTGTTTGCCCTCATGTAATTCACTTATATTCTTTTTCACCTTTCTGAATATCACCTTAAGGAATCTAAATAAGTTTGCATTACTGACCTTTATAAACATAACATGAGCTGTGTTTGTATATTTTTTTTTAAAGTGTGATAAAGAACTTGAGAGCAATTACAGAAATAGATGCAATGCATGCAGGTACAAACTGATACACTGGTGGATGGATTTACACCCATAGCATATAAACAGCATACAAGATACAACAGGTATATTTTTATTGAAATAATAGTCCCACTATAATTTGAACAATTAATTCTTTGGGTATTAACTGTCTTTGTTTTAACTCAAACCTTACTGATTTCAAAGAAAATTACTTCCAGGAATGCAGTGGATTAGACTTTTCAGCAATGTTAATATTCAGTACTGTATAGCTTTGATAGAAATGCCATTAAAGTCAGATGATACAATTCTGAATAATTCTGTATCAAATTGGTCTGTATTCAGTGAAATCTTATAGGCTTAATTTAATGTGTCTTAATCATAGGCATATACAAGCATACCCACACAAAAATCAAGGATGAACATGGATGTAAATATGTTACATGATTTACATCCCGTCTGCAAAATTACCCAGCCTTCTAATTCCCTACTTCTAGCTGCCTTATGCCAGAGCTGATGACCTTCTTCTCTTAATACACTATTGATGTAAATCATTGTATATAAGACTCTGGGCCAATATTACTACCCGTTTTCTAAGAATTTGCAAAAATGAAGGGATGGGGGAAGAACTTGTGTCCTGAAAGTGTCATTAATAATTAAATATATTAATGTAGCATAATTATTCTAGAGTAAGAGCAATTATTCTTTTATATTTATAAAATATTCTCATACCTGGTGATAAAATAATTATTTTAATCCTGGAAAATACTTTTTGTCACTAATTCAACTGATTTGATCCAATCCTTTTCTCTCTCTGTCTCCCTCTGTGATGAAAATAACGTATTTTTTAGATCAAAACTAATCAGTGCACCTCCTCTAACTGTAATAATGACATTCACAAATGGGAATACAATAGCTGTCTCCAAATGTATTTGATGGCTTTCACCAAAGTGAAATGACAGAAAAGAAGACAAGTATTTGTAAAAGCACAGGACATGTTTGCCTCTCTTTGTTTTGTTGAGCTTTGTAGCCTGTGAGATCTTTATCCTCTGGACAGTTTCTAGTCTGCTTTTCATACATGCAGAAAATGTAAGTATTGGGAGGGGATCAGAAATACACAGGGCAAACTGGAGTATCCACCATTAATAGAAAAGCAGGTAATAAAATCTTTATTACCAGCAGCATTTTTGCTATGTATGGAGACTCTAATTAAGATGTAAATTTTGATTCTGAGCAGTGAGACAAAACCATGCTACAGATATAAAGCAAGTCTCTCCATGCTTTATAAATGAAGCAACTTGAACATCATTTGAAGCATTTTAATGAAAAGAATGACTTTGTATCATGGATACTGTTTGTCTTCATATCAATTACATGCAATAAACATTATAAACTTTTGCAAAATAAGGATGCACTATCCTGGTGTGGGCTTATTCTTTGGATTCTAATATATATGTTGGTTTTTACACAAAAAAACCCCTTATAAGTAATATGTATCACAATGTGACATCATACATTAAATTGTACAAAATTTACCTCATATGTTTATTACAATCTGCTGTAAATAGTCTTTAAACTACTGTTTTGTTTTGTGCCCCCACCCCTCACAGCTCAGCTTTCCTTGTCCACAGTCCTTTTGCTCATCCATATCATTTTGTGTCTCCCCTGTCACCAAATTAACTATTGCTATCTTTCGGCCAGACACCTTACAGACATGGATCTTCGCTGATGGTAATGTTGCTTAGGGGACCACAATCATAGTATTATAATTTATGCATTCATGAAAGGCAATTGGTCTTCTCCCCTGAGACTTAAAATGTCACCTCTAGTAGACCTGGGCCTGAAATTTCAACAGCATTCTTCAACTTGGGTATGCTGGTTACAGTTCAGTTATTTTATTAAAAGAGAAAATAAATGAGGCAAGTTAGAATCTATTATTATAGCTCCCTTTTTTCCCTCTCAAAATAGTGCTTAAGAAGGAAAGACTTGTGAAAATAAAATCAAGGTGAATGCTTATTTCATAATCTCTAGGTTACGGAAAATACAACACAAACTAGTGCATGCATTCTCCTTTTCTTCTTTGCTCTTTGTCAGAGGCTGCAATATAAAATCTTACCCCAAAAGCCTGCACAAAACAATAGTTATGAAATCAGGCCTGGGAAGTTGAAATAAGTCAGTAAATATTCTGAATGAAATCTATATCTTCACATCTCTTCTATCTGTATTAGTATGCTCATGTAAGATACTGTGCATCTTTAAGCAGGAAAGTGAATTTTGTGTCTATTCTGAAGTAAATATTTTTTATTGATGCTTGTATTCCCAAAGGATATTCTTTTTTATACCAGTCAATCTTATCTTTTTAATTAAATTTGAAAAAAATATTGTTAAATGGCTTTTTGATTATCTGACATTAATCAGAATAATACAGTTGTTATAGCTAGTTTTAAGTATGATAGAGCTAGATGAAAACATGACAGAGAACAGTATTTTTACAATAATATTTCTGAATAACAAAGGCCTTATATGCTTCTTTATAAAGGCCCAGGTATTTTCCCAACACATATCCAAATCCCATATTCGTTTATTTGCAAGTATATATTGTGCTAGCTTTTTAAAGAAGAAGTTGAGTGAAATGTTTGTTAGAAAACCACATTTCATTCAGAATGTACAGCATAATACTGGTCACAATATACTTCCTACACACACACACACACACACACACACACACACACACACATATTTACAGAGGAACTGACAAGCTTATTCTTTGAATTTCTTTTCATGCTAGCCTACTCTTCAGTAAATGGTAGTAGATTACTACTTTAGAACCATCTGCTGCTTTCATTTATATTTAGCAGAAGTAATGACCACTCTGCCTGAATTTTAGACAAGCCACAACACTCAAAACTGCTTTTCAGTATAAACTATACATAAGCATACATATGCATATATAGGCATGTAATTCCCCATACAACTTTTTATCCTATTATATCAAAAACACAAAGTTTCTCCAAAATAACATCACAATAATTTTATCCTATCGGCACAGTACAGTGAATGAACCACAAGTGTCCTGCATCAGTAATTCTTCAGGTCTAGCAACCTCTGTTTAAATTGCAGAATCTAAATATGGTTCACCTTAAAATCTTTGCTATACTCTTTTGGAGAAAGTATAAATGGAAAAATGTTTTAAGTATAATACAAAACCCATACCCTCTCCCTTTTTATGAAACTCTTCTGGCACATGTTTTCCTTGGAGAGCCACATGGTGTTACTGTCTAAATAAGCCTAGGCAAAGATGATTGAGGGAATTCAATCACTCTTTAATTAATACAGGATTATTTCACTTTCATTTTGTGGAGCTAATAATACGAGATGGAATGTCAGTAAAAATTAAATCGTAAACTAGTAGAGGGCCAAGGGAGCAGCTCACTTTAGTTATGGAGTTTTCCCCCTAGATATTATGAAAAATCTTACACCTATTTACATTGGTAATGCTGTTCCATGGGATAGTAAAAGATTTCAAGAATCTGAATGGCACAGGCATATATCACAGAACAAGAGAACGTTTTCAGATTTATCTATTAAAAAGTGAATTGAGGCAAGTTGTTTCCTGAATGTTAAAGGACCACATGTTAAATTGAGAAGTACACT